TTCCTGAGTACAGACCATGTGGGAGCTTCAGGGAAGAGTTACGCTTCCCACATCTCGGGTTGAGAACAAATGGGTGCTCCCCAGTCAGTCTCTAGTCTGTCAGAGCTCTGGCAGACCTGCAGGAGTTACTCAGTGAATGGGTTGGGATGGCTAAATGGATGTTGAACGACACCTTGAGGGACTATAATTTAGATCTGAATTTGATCCCATGTACTCTTGGCTCCAGGACATAAATGCTACACTACACTAAGTTTTCTCAGGCTTCTTAGTGATGGTAACTTTTAGTGACTCTAGCCTGCTGTTGCATTTGTCACTGACACTGAGTAAGACGGGGGTTCTCACAGGTAGTGTCAAGGAATCCTCGGAATTCCCTTTGGCAGAAGTTTGTCCTTCCAACAAAATGAGACCTTGCCTAATAATTTATCTTGTTTCCCAGGTGGCTGACCCTGTCGTTACCTTTTGTGAGACGGTGGTAGAAACATCCTCCCTCAAGTGCTTTGCTGAAACACCCAATAAGAAGTAAGCTGGGGGTCATAGTGCCCCTTGGACTGACACATTCCCCTCTGCACCAACTCCACCACAATCACAGACACTGTGGAAATAGAAACCCTGAAGTCTTAGGATGGGGGTGCTTAGGACACTTGAGTTTTAGCCCAGGCCTCTGATCCATTATGCCTTTGGACAGGATCCTATGAAATTCTTTGCAATAAGACTTTCTATGCCAGGATGGCTTGCAGTTGTCACTTCTCCTTTGTATATAGTATGACCATCTTACTTTATTATTTTTATTTTTTTAATTCTCACCCAAGGATATTTTTCTATTTTTTTTGTTCAAATAGAGTGGGAGGGAGAGAGAAACATCGATATGATAGAGAGACATTGACTGGTTGCCTCCTGCACGACCCCAACCAAGGCCAGGGACAAACTGCAACTGAGGTACATGCCCTTGACCAAAATCAAACCTGCGACTCATTGGTCCACGGGCCAACGCTCTAACCGCTGAGCCAAACCAGCCAGGGCTAGTAGGACCATCTTAAAATGTTGCCCCAAACCTTACTTTTAAAAAGAGTCGTAGATTCTACTGAAAGAGGATAGAAGATAAGCCCTTTGACTCTATTCTGCTTCTGTGGCTTTCACTGATGTCATTGCCCTAGCTGTTCTTTGTCACCCTTTTCTTAGTAATGGCCCTTCTGCTAGTCCTGCTCACCCTCATTACTCATTTCCTTTCTAACTAGGAACAAGATCACCATGATTGCTGAGCCTCTTGAAAAGGGCCTTGCTGAAGACATCGAGAATGAAGTGGTCCAGATCACGTGGAACAGGCGAGAGCACAGCTCCGATTCCAGGGCTAAAGGGAGATGGGCAGGGCACCTAGTTTACCTGCTGGTCTCTAATACCACACATCTTTCTGGGAAATAGTTTTTCTCTCCCACTTTGCTATTTTCCTGGGCACAGTGTGGGCGGGGTGAGGTGACTACCTACAGAAAGGCAGGATCCATGACCCCAGGAGCCAGCAATCACAGAGCTGGCTGAACCCTCTTTTGTCTCCTCTTTGCCAGGAAGAAGCTGGGGGAGTTCTTCCAAACCAAGTATGATTGGGATCTGCTGGCTGCCCGTTCCATCTGGGCTTTTGGCCCTGATGCCACCGGCCCCAACATCCTGGTGGATGATACCCTGCCCTCTGAGGTACCGGAGAACTGATGAGAGCCTGTGTGGAGGTCTCTTAGCTCAAGTGGAAGAAACTACAAAGTGCCCTTTTTCCCCCTGAAAGTATTTTGTGTCTTCTGGTGAAGGAAAATACCCTCTTACAGTGTACCTACCTTCTTCTCCCTCTAAACTCTTTGGCTATTGCCAGGGTCACTACTAAAGAACCCTTATGTTCTTTACAGGTGGACAAGGCTCTCCTCGGCTCAGTGAAGGACAGCATTGTTCAAGGTTTCCAGTGGGGAACCAGGGAGGGACCACTCTGTGATGAGTGTAAGTCCACCGGCTTCTCTGCCTCCCCTACCTTAGTCTTCTAGGGTCCTTGCACTATAGGAGGTGGGGTGGGCTCATTTTGGGGACCTGGCAGGAGAAGCAGCAGAGCCATCCCATGTATCAAGAGGAGGATGGGATTGGAGTGGTGTATAGACATGTATTGGACTTAATGGGAACAAATATGCAATTTTTAGAATTTACTCTATATCCAAAAATAATTAAATGTCTGTAAAAGAAGCCCATAAACTTGTAGGGAAGCTTTATGATGCCTGAAACAAACACTATGAATGTATGCTTCACTGCTGACCTCTTCACTGCAGGCCTTGCATGTCCTGTCAGAATGCCCAGCTGCAGGGCAAGTTTGTACCTTATCTTTTGTGGCCGCAGGACAGCTGCAGAGCTATAAGAGGCTCCTTGCTGTTCTGGCCATGGACCCTTAATTAGCACCAGAACCACTCTTTAATCAGCTGCCCATCTCCTTTCCAGTGATTCGAAATGTCAAGTTTAAGATCCTAGATGCAGTGGTTGCCCAGGAGCCCCTGCACCGGGGTGGGGGCCAGATCATCCCCACAGCGAGAAGAGTTGTCTATTCTGCCTTCCTTATGGTAAGTAAGTGGGGCTGTGCTGCTCCAGGACATTAAGTCCTCAGCCTTCCTCAAGCTGAGGAACCCTTTCTTATTGCTCTGTTGCAGGCTACTCCTCGCCTGATGGAGCCTTACTACTTTGTAGAGGTCCAGGCCCCTGCAGATTGTGTCTCCGCTGTTTATACCGTCTTGGCCAGGCGCAGGTGAGCAACCCCAGGCATGTTAGGGAGAGCACAGAGAGGAAGAGCAGAGCAGGAAATCACTGGGCCACAATGGAGAGATCAGCCTCCCCACCCTCTCCACTCCTGAAACCTAATGAGCTGACTTTTTGGAAGGTAGTAGGAACTGGAATGAGGAAATCCCCAGCCTTCCTGCAAATTAAAAATTGAGATTCCTTATTGGGCACCCCTCCTCAGAGAGCTCCTGGGGAAAGCACTGCAGTGAGTCAGTGGTGAGAATGTCTATAAAACTTTATTCATCAGTGTTCCTACCTCAGCCTATAGATTGCTGCCCCTTTGACCTCCACAGGGAATTACACTGTCTCCTGTTGTGCATTCACAGTTACTCTTTATTTGATGGTAATTCTGGTTTGGGGTGTATTTGGGGACAGATTGCTTCTCTGCTTTTGACTCAGTCTTTGTTGTTCTGTCTCAGGGGGCACGTGACTCAGGATGCACCCATTCCAGGCTCTCCTCTCTATACCATCAAAGCTTTCATCCCGGCTATTGACTCTTTTGGCTTTGAGACTGATCTGCGGACTCACACCCAGGGGCAAGCCTTTTCCTTGTCTGTCTTTCACCATTGGCAGGTGAGAAAATGGTGCAGGCTGGCTGACTTGGCCTCCCCCTGTACAAGGCCAGTTTCTTCTGACCTGTTCGCCTAACAAGTCCTGACTGAGAGTTTCTAACCTTCTCAAGAAGGGTCCTGCTTTCAGGCCCAGATGCCTGGACCCTCTGAAACCCCTTTGCCTTTCAGATTGTTCCTGGTGATCCTCTGGACAAGAGCATTGTCATCCGCCCCTTGGAGCCACAGCCAGCTCCTCACCTGGCCCGGGAATTTATGATCAAAACCCGTCGTAGGAAGGTGTGTGTCCCTGCAGACCTATTGGCCACCCCTCCACCCCCAGCAGAAGTGTTACTTCTCTTCATTTCTTACTTTTGAACCCTTCTCTCAAAGACTAAGCAATTTACAACGTAAAGAGATGCAATCTGTATAGGCCTCAGGCAGCCAGTCCTAGAGCCCAGTCTGTCTGGGAAAGGAAGGCCTGCTTCCCAGTGACAGTGCCCTAAAGACAGGGGTCCTGAAACAGCCTGGCTGACAGTCCACCGCCCACTAGCCTCCCACTCAACCACAGGTCTCTGATGGCCCCAAGCTCATTCAGACACCACACAGAACTCATTCTAGTATTTGCCCCTTCCCTCTCTCTGCAGGGCCTGAGTGAAGATGTGAGCATCAGCAAGTTCTTCGATGATCCCATGTTGCTGGAGCTTGCCAAGCAGGATGTTGTGCTCAATTACCCCATGTGAATGCCGGGACTCCTACCAGCTCCTGCTTGCTGCAGTGGGCTGCATCCTGGATGAACTTGGGACCTGGTGTGACTTGGACTCCATGTTGTCCAAGTGTCTGGGAGCTGCTGTGGCTGTCTTGAACAACCCAGGAGCCCAACCCAGAGCCCAGTGAGGGAGGCACATTTGGCCTCCTGGTTCTTTCTGTGGCCTCTGCCTGGCTCCATTCCCAGGGAACAACAGAGAGAAGCCTGGGCTCAGGGAAGGGGAAGGGGATGGAAGTGTTTAACCCCAGGGGCCCTGTCCTCGGAATTTACATGGAAATTTTTTTTTTTTACAAGTTTGACCTTAAACATGTTTTATAAGTGAACAGAACATTCTAACCTCTGCCTTTCTGTCCTTTCATCCCCACCCACTACCCCCTTTTCCTCCAGCACAGTCTAGTCCCGGCACTCGGGTTCTAAATCTATGTCGTCTCCCATGAGGCTTCACTGCCTCTGCTCCCAGCTGCAGCCTTCTTCCTGCCTGGGTCTCCAGGGAAGCAGCCTGTGGTGGGAGAAGCGCCTGCCTCTTAATTCAGTGTTCCCGTGAGCGTGGAGGCCTATTTACTGCCCCCATTCCCAGCGTCCTGTCCTCCCTACCATGCCTCTCTAAGTGCGACTTGAGCTGGCTTAGGAGTTGTTGGGTTTCTGGGATCAGACGCCTACAGTACCTCCTTTTCTGCTTCCTGAGAATCTCTGTTGCCCTGGAGTTCAAGGCCAAAACTCTTTGATTTTCAACCCTTTGCTCTAAATTCCCCCACCAGCCACTGCCAATCCCTTACTCTGCCCTCTCCCAGGTGAAGAAGTGACTGTTGGTTTTCCACAAAATTCCTTTATTAGGAACATACCAGGGATTGATGTGAGAGGATCTGACTGCCCTTGGCTTTAGGAACCTACTTCTCCCCTGCATCCTGTGCTGTTCTCTTGACGTAGTCTCTGTACATTGTATACACAGCACCTGTGTGAGGGAGAAGGAAAAACACACCTTGGTATCAAAAGCTTCCCATCCTCTGACTCTCCCAGGGGTCCCAACAACTCCAGAGCCCAGGGGTCTGACTCCAGCAGGTCCCTTGAGAGTCCAGCTTACAGCTCACCTTTCTGCCCTAGGGCTTAACAGCTGCTACAAGCACCCGACCACACAGCCTGGGAAATAACCCATTTGACAATTCACAAAGCATTTCAAGTGCATTTCTATCTAAAAAAAACCTTACGGTAACCTGTGAGGTAGGCAAGCCAGGGGTGGTTATTGCATTACACCTGGGGAAACCAAGGGTCAGAGAAATGGATTTGTCCACTGTCACACAGCTAGTAAGTAGCTGTCTGCCCTTTGATCCAGAGAGGAAGAGAAATTCAGCCAGTGTTACATAGTTTTTCTCATCTCTATAAGATAAACTGTCATGAAATAGATTGCACACTGCCCCCACAATCCTGGGACAGAAGATTAAACGGAACCCTGAGAATGTCTCGGTATGGGGGTCTCACCAAGGGACTTGATATGGAGCCTTGTGTAGGGAACAGACTGAAATCACGGTCCTTTAACTGTCAGGACCCACAGCTATCATTCTCCTGTGACGCCACTCACCTAGCATGATTGCACCCACAGCACAGGCCTGCGCTGCCACTCGGGTGTGAATCAGGTGTATGGACATCTTGGTGGAACCACGAGCCTTCAGCCGGTAAATCCTGTATGCTGCCACCACTAGGCAGCCTCCTAAGCCTGTAGTCAGAGAACATGACCCCTGGGCTTCATCTACAAAGCACATCACTCATGAGAGATACACCTCACTAGACAGACGGGGCATCTGGATGAACAGCTGCTTTGGTGCAGCTTCACAGAGGTAGGGGTTAGACTGCTGAGTTGTTTTCTCTGGATGGTGTTTTCAAAGTGGGCTGCCTCCCTCCTGTGACTCCCCTACCCCATATACAAATCGTCATGATTCCCCTAGCCCCATTAGCTCTGTTCTGGGCCCTTTTCCAACCACTGTTGGCTCCCATGTCCTGATACAGCTGTTTTCCTACTTTCCCAGGGCCCTGAAGGAAGCCCTGGGAGACCCCAAACTGCTCCTTCTCCTGACGTCGGTGTTGGTGCCCCCATGTTTCCCTATATCCCATGCATTCAGTTGGCTGCCACCTCCACCCGTCCAGACTCCCTCATTTCATTGTAAGAGGTGTCCTTTTATCCCTTGGCACCTCTGCTATTGGTTCACTCCTAGCTGTTGATTGTTCAGTGGTTAGGACCACTTGAGTTCTCTGTTTCATTCTTTGAAAAGACTAGGAGAGAGGTTTTCTAAGAGAAAGCCCCTCCTTGCCCCCCATTCCTTCCTTTGCCACTCACCTATAGGCACCAGTGGAGACTCCCTGGTCTTCCTCAGGAACTTCTCAGACACGCTGTCTTCACCTTTGGGTGGCACCCACCAGCCTTTGTTAGCAGACATGATTCTGCCCCCAGATGTTAGCAGCTGGGACTCCTAGAATTCAGCCCAGTCCTAGAAGGAGGCACCCCACAATCAGAACTCCAGTGCTCCTCAGTTTGGGGTGGAAAGGAGAAAGTTGCCGGCTGAGACCCTGTCTTACCATGCCCTATACAGCCACTACTTAAAAAGATGTCCCAGATGCCCTGTCTCAGATGGGTGGACCACTAGTGCCATTTCTCCATCTTAATATCTGCCTCTTCCCCAGCTCATTCAGACTTCACTGTTTTCTCTGCTCCCCCCACCCCCACCCCCATCTGCATCCCTATGCGTGTCATCCTTGGGCCAAGAAAAGCAGCTGGAAAAATCCACAGATGAGGGTGGGAGGAAAAGGCCTTAAGCCTTGGGACCCCCCCCCCCTCCAAAACTTGCCTTGAGTTTGTGACGGTTACTCCTGAGGGAGCTACAGAATGGGATCTGGCCCCAGGGAACCAGAGCCATCCCAGACAGTGTTACAGCATGGTTACCCAATCACCAGAGCCAGAGATGAAAATAATTGGACATGGATTTGTGTATACTTGAGCATAGATTTCAGACATTAATACTAACAGAACAAACTCGGGTCCCTGAGCCGCTCCTGTTCCAGGTCCATCTCTTGCCAGGTTATTTGCAAATACCTACCTCCTGCCTCCATCCCTGGGCTGGTGATCCATATTGTTCCACTTGCTAATTTCTGCAAATGTCTTCTCTGGTCACAAACTAGACAGAGTCCCAGAGTTAAGGTCCTTAAATGAGGGGTTCTGCCTGTAGGTTGCCTTCTAAGTCTAACCATGAAACAAACTCCCTGCTTGAGGCAACTTATATACCTAGTTGCCCTTCCTGTCCTGAAGGAGCAAGAACTTTTGGCCCCACAGGTCCTTAGCATGCTGATGCTTACCGCAGGAGATGGCTAGAAAGTGGACTGTGAGCAGCCGCGCCAGGGCTCAGCGTCTGCTTTGAGCTGGACAAGAGCTGATGAAGCTGCCACTATGGGGTCAGAGAATCAGTGGCAGGCTTTATGGACACTTTGAAGTCAGGAATGGAGAGGGGAGGAGATAGGACAGGGCATCGGCCTTAACCCCCCATCTGCTGAGTTTCAGGCTGGACTCCAGGCACTGGAGAGTCATGAAAGACCAAATGGAAAGGGGCCCTTAGCTAGGTTTAATCTTTTAATTCTCATGGTCCTAAGTGGTTGGGTCAGAGATGGACTTGCTATGGAGACCTGAGATGGGGAATATAGAGGCAAGGATGGGTAGAGATCCTGGGTTCTCCCCTGAGATATACTGCCTTAAATACTCTGTGTGGGATGTAAATAAGACACTCCAATTACGGGAGGCAGGCTCTCTGGTCTTGGTTCTGATATCTTCAAGGATGTTTTCTGGACCAAGGAGATTTGTTCAGGAGTTTTTTTTTTTGTTTTTTTATCATCCTCACCCGAGGACATTTTTCCATTCTTTGTTCAGATAGAGTGGGAGGGAGAGAGAGGAACAGAGAGAGAGAGAAACATCGATGTGAAAGGGACACATCGAGTGGTCGCCACCCGCACAACCAACCAGGGCCGGGGACAAACTGCAACCGAGGTACATGCCCTTAGCGGGAACCGAACCCGGGTCTCTCCAGACCGCAGGCCGATGCTCTAACCGCTGAGCCAAACCGGCCAGGGCAGGAGTTTGAAATAACTGGGATTTCCCTCACATCTCCAGAGCTCTTCATGCTGTCTGGGGGTTACAGAGATGACAAAGACCAGCCTTAGTGCCTATTCTAGTCTAGATATTTACATTTCAAACCCCTCAACTACTCTACATGGTAAGTAGCAGTTTGTTTATGGACAAGGGAACTGAGTTTTCCAGAAGCTAAATGTTTTGCCTAAGGGTACACAACTAGTAAATGGCAGATCTGAACCCAGGTCTGGCTGGCTCCAAAGAACCCACTTTCTGGGAGGCTGGCCAAGCTGAAACCATCTCTGAATTGATACTGAAGCTTAGGAATGCTAACTGATCATGCCACCCTTGAACAGGAAAAGAAAAGTAACTCTGGCTAAGCAAATGGAGAAAGATTGGGACACACTCTGAAGAGTCCCACTCCATTCCAGGCCTTGGTTACTTCCCTAGATTACTCTCAGCCCCCCTGTCTGTCCTAAAGGGGCTTTTCAGCACTGGAAATGTGTCCAGCAGCTGATGTCTCTCTTTTCTCTCCCCAGCACTCACTGCTGTAGGAAGAAATCCAGGGTCACAGCAACTCCCCAGGGCCTTCACATATCCCAGTGACCATGGGAACTCTCCTCCCAGTCATTCACACACACTCTCCCATGCTGCCTATCCTGGTCCCAACAGTGGCTTGAATTCTCAAGAGACGGATGGTCTGGTCCAGAGGTGGGGAGTGGAAATGTCTGAATGAGATGGCAAGAATCCAGATCACACCCTGGCCAGTGTTGCTTAGTGGTTGGAGCATCGGCCCATGCACTGAAGGGTCACGGGTTCAATTCCCAGTCAAGGGCACATACCTGGGTTGCAGGTTGATCCCCACCCCTGGTCCTGCAGGAGGCAACCAATAGATGTGTCTCTCTCACATTGATGTTTCTCGCTGTGGCCCTCTTTCTCTCCCCACCCCCGCACACCTTTCCACACTCTCCCTAAAAAAAAAAAAAAAATCAATGGAGCCCTGACCAGTTTTGCTCAGTGGTTAGAGCGTCGGCCCTCGGACCAATGAGTCGCAGGTTCGATTTCAGTCAAGGGCACATACCCCGGTTGCATTAGTTCCCGGCCCTGGTCGGGTGGTGCGGGAGGCAGCCAGTCGATGTGGCTCTATCATGTTGATGTCTCTCTCTGTCTCGCTCTCTCCCTCCCTCCTACTCTACCTAAAAAAAAAAAAAAAAGTCAATGGAAAAAATATCCTCTGGTGAGGATTAAACAAAACAAAACAAAACAAAATCAACCCCAAGCCCTATAGAGAACAAGGACTAAGTTCTAGAGAGCGAAGTTCAACTTCTCCCTGTTGTGATCATGTCTGATGTTCACAGCATTCCAGCCCAGAACTGAGGAAATAATAATAATAGGCTATGATTTACTGAGCACCTAGGAGCCAAAAAGCGTGCTAAATGCATTAAGTAGATTATTTTATTGAATCCTTACAATAACTATGAAGAAAATACTAGTACTATTATTCTTCCCATTTCACAGATGTAAAAACTGAGGCTTGGGTTAAATGCCTTGCCCAACGTCACAGTAAGTGACGATAGAGAGAAAAAGGTCCAGACTTCTCACCATTCCTAAAATCAAATCTCACTACTCTGGACTAAGGGAGGAGGACTAAAATGGAGGGGAAGTCCTGAAATAGAAAAAATAAAATTGCCTTTTATTTTCATAAACTTCTGAGAACACACAGAAATTTTTAAGGAACAGATTTCTGGAGCATCGTGCTTAAGTAAACAGAAGATAAAATTATGATAACATTTTTGTTAATATGCCAAGTCTTTTTTTTTTTGGTACGTGCCCCTAGCGGGAACCAAACCCAGGACTCTCTGGTCCGCAGTCCGACACTCCAACCGCTGAGCCAAACTGGTCAGGGCTAATATGCCAAGTCTTTAATAATTATTTTGGTTTCAGCATTTCTACATTAGTAATTTGCTTAGTAACTGTCTTTCTTCCAGATCAGGTCTCACTAATAAAAGTTCTAATTTACAGGGCTCTAAATGAATGATGCTGACAGGGGATCCAGATTGTAGGCTGGAGTTAGACATGGGGTCAGTTAGCTAGCTGCTTGACCGACCACCCTCTAATTGATTTTTAGAGCAGAAGGGAGAGAGAGGGAAGAAAACATCGATGTGAGAGCGAAACATGCCCACTACCAGGCATAGAGCCTGCAACCCAGGCATGTGCTCTGACTGGAAATCAAACAAGCAACCTTTCTGTGCACAGGGCAAAGCCCAAACAACTGAGCCACACTGGCCAAGGCCCAACTACTCCCTAAATACTTGGTCTTCTGCCACCTGACCTCTTTGAGTCTATATCATCTGTAAAATGGAGATAGCAGGTACCCATAAGATCATTATAGGCATTAAATAAGATAATTTCCCTAGCACACTGCCTGATCCTCTTTCTTCAGAATGAACAAGTGGCAGGAAATGGCCAGCATGCTGGGGGAGAACTGGAAAGTCCCTGACAACAGATGGGAAGGATACCATGTTCTGGGTGGTCCACAATGCAGTGGACCTCTCCAACTCTTGTCCCTCTCCAACTCTTCCCCATCCTAGCTGGGAGCTTCAGGCTCCCTATTATGTTGGGGGGGGGGGGGAAGGGGAGAAGAGGGGAGGGGAGGGGAGGAGGGACTAGGACTTGAAGCTCTACATAATCTAAGGCACAGCTGTGCTATATATAGCCCAAGGGAGTTGAGTGACTAGACAGGGGAAGGGAGGGACGTGCAGCTTTTGCCTTGAGCTCTTGAGCTACAGAGAGCTGTGAGTGAGGGGATGTTGAAGAATGAATTGGACAAGGAACAGAGAGGATGCTCCGAGTTGGGGTTGGAATGGGAAGGACCCAGGCTGAAGGGCTGGGGGAATCACAGGGGAGAAAACATTAAACCATATAGTAAGCAGTGTCTCAGGGACTAGAGAGGCAGAGAGTGGGGTAACAGAAACAGGCAGGGGCAGTGGAAGTTTCCAGATAATGTGGCTAGGTTGAGGCAGCCTCTAGAGCAGTGGTTCTCAAACTTCCTAATGCCGTGACCCTTTAATACAGTTCCTCATGGTGTGGGACCCCCAACCATAAAATTATTTTCATTGCTACTTCATAACTGTAATTTTGCTACTGTTATGAATCGCCATCAGAAATATGTGTTTTCCAACTGTCTTAGGCGACACCTATGAAAGGGTCGTTCGACCCCCAAAGGGGTCACGACCCACAGGTTGAGAACCGCTGCGCTAGAAGGTGCCTGAGGTGGTGGGGGGGTGACACCTCCTTCTTCTAAAAACAGGCACTGAGTTCCAAGGACCTTGCAGCAATTGTCCAAGGACAGCCCCAACAGCCACTGGCCTAGGGCCAGGAAAATGTTTTTGGTACCCACTA